GCCCCCGAGCGCGGTCCCCGCCGCCTGTGACCTTGAGCGGCGGCGGGGGTGTGCGCGGTGGGAGACGCGCGCTGGGTGATCCGGGCGCCCCTGCACGGTTGAAGAGCGGTGATTGGGCTGAGTAGATCGTGGTGGCTCCGAAGCCAGCGCCGCCGCAGTGGGTCCGGCCCGGGCAGTGGCTCTCCCGCTCTGTGCGAGTTGGAGAGGCCGCCGGGGTGGGGAGCGCGGTCTCGGAGTGGTAGCCAGGCAGGGTGTTCGCAGACTGACCCACGAGCGGACTGCGGAGTTGCGATCGGAGCCCTTGGAAATCCAGGGCAGGTACACTCACTGCCCCACGACCGCTGACTTCACGTCCGCGTGAATGTGGGCGGGAGGCGCCAAAAGAAAAGAACTTAGAGAAGAAACCCGATGAATAAAACTGGGGGAGGGGTTGAAGTACGGCACACCTAAATATTGTGCTGACGGCTAGGTTTCGTTAAGCAAGGCGAGCTTTGCCTCCTTTAAGCCTCACACGCACACCCTCTTCGAGGGAAGTAGGATTTGTCCCTACACCACAGCTTCGGAAGTTGAGGCCTACAGCCTCCCAGGGCCTGAAACACAGTAGGTTCGAAAAAGGTATTTAATTATTAATCAGAGAGTGACTTGCTTGGGTCCACGAGACCCGTAGGAGTAAAGCTGGAGCTTGAACTTGCCAACTCACAGCTGATTTCTAGAGTTCACGTAATTGTGGTAGAAAATTTAGTCTTCTGTTTGATCAGCAGTGTTTAGAGTATAGGAAAGAGAGGGGGAAAGAATGGAAAATGTAAAGAACGCTTTAAACAATAATGACGTAGTTGAAAAGATGACATGAACATAATTAGCAAGATACGAATTCCGTTGCTAACGGTGTATGAAACAAGCAAGGTAACGAAAGTGTTCAGTGTTAGTTGTCACTATTCCCATGATGTAAAGAGTGTGCACTTAATTTCTTGGACTTCTGAGGAGATACTGAGAATAGATTCTTGATAAACTAGAGAAATGGCATGCTTGGCAGGGGGGATCAAATGAAGTAAGGAATAGGAAATAGAAATCAGGAGAAGGAAACTACCAGAAGCACCCTGTGTCAGGGACATTAGGGAGTAGGGGATAAAAGGTCATCTATACAGAAAGTCAGCTGGCTAGGGCTGCTAGCTCAGTGGTAGAGTGCCTATCTAACATGCAGGATACCTGGGTTCGAGCCCTAGCACTGGAGTTGGGGGGAATCTGTAGGTGGCAGTGGGGTAATGTACCTATAGTTTCCACACTCAGGAGGCTGAGGCAGGAGGATCATTTGAGAGAGCACCAAATCCTAGTCACTAGATTACCAGGGAGGAGGATCACTTGAGCACAGGAGTTTGAGAGTAGCCTGGGTAACAGTAAGACCTTGTCTCCTTTAAAAAAAATATTTTTTGAAGTCATAATGAAACTGTTACATTCATTGAGAAAGGAAGATGATTTTTTTTTTTTTAAAGACAGGATCTCACTGTGTGGTTCAGGCTGGCCTTGAACTCACTGTGTGACCCAGGGTGACCTGAAACTTGGAGCCACCTTCCTGCCTCAGCCTCCCGAGTGCTGGGATTGTAAGCGTGCGCCACCACACCCAGCCTTAGAATGTTCTTTAAGGAGGATGTAAATTTCACTCATGAAAGCTACTGTTCTTGTTTCAGTCTTTAGAGGATTGCCCTCTAGATGAAGATGAAGATACATTTCAGGGCCTTGGAGAAGAAGATGAGGAGATCGATCAGTTCAACGATGATACATTTGGGTCAGGTGCCATTGGTAAGTGACGTTTTTCTGTTACGGCATCTCCTTGGCCTCTTGTTCTTCTCAAGTGCTCTGTCTTGGGGGCAACCTCATTCATTCATTTGGCAGTATCATCTCTTCTTGATCACAGTCAGAACAATACGCCCTTCGCTCAGGATAGTTCATCCTTCTGCCTTGGGTCTCTGGGCCTCTTTGACCTGAGGACAACCACGGATTCTCTAAGCCCAAGCTCCCCAAGCCTGGTAGCTGACAGTGGCCCGTTAGGAGCCCACGGCACAGAGGAGACGAGCGACAGGTGGGCAGATCTGGAAAGCTTCTGTGTTTCCAGTTGCTCGCGTCACTTGTGTTACCACCTGGCCCCACCTCCTGTCAGATCCGTGCCAGCGGATTCTCACAGGAGCTTGAACCCTCCCTAACTGCGTGCCAGAGTTCTGGGTCACCAGCCTCTTTGAATCATCCCCCAACTGTACGCCCCCACCCCCACCCTGAAAAATTCTCTTCCGCAAAACTGGTCTCTGGTACCAAAGAGGTTGGAGGCCTCCTCTCCCAGTCCCGTGCCTCCCAGCTACTTGAGCTGTGCTAGCTGGTTGCCACTGGGAAGAAACTCACACGGTCAGGGAAGTAGACTTTGGAAGAGGCTTTCCTAGCTGAGGAAGAGCTTCCCCAGCAGGGTACAGAGCGTGCAGCTAGCAGACGAGTGGGGACCCAGAGTCTAGCATGTGCCGTGTGTGTTTGGAAGCTCAGCCCGTCGCTGCTTTATTGCACAGCCGTTGCTGTTGTCTTAGAGTACCTCCAGGAAGATAGGAAGCTCATTGTACCAGAGACGTGGGGCTCGGAAGGCTCGTCCATTACAGAAATCTTCCCTGTGCATGGACACGGCAAAATTTTACAGGAGTCAAAAGGAGTAAAAGAGCCAAGCTGAGTTTACGCTGAGTGAAGAGTTGAGGAAGCGATCTTAGATGCTAAAATTTGAGCACAGAATTTACTTGGGACAACTTTGGAACAGTGGACCAATAAATTAAAATGTGTACTTTAAAAAGAACGTGAATAGGTAAGAGTCAGCGCAGATGGTTCCTCTCTGACTCCTGGCAGCGGAAAGCTGCACTCTCAGTGTTTGTGTTGGGCTGTGTAAGTATGTTTGACTCCCTTGGAACTGCAGCACTTGGGTCTGCACAGCCAGTACTCGAAGTTAAACCGGGAGCCAGAGGAGGCGGTTAGCAGTACGAGTGACTCCAGGGTGGCGAGTGGCCAAAGCCAGTGTCTTGGAGGAGCCTGAGCAGCTGCAGTGTGCTTGCGCGCGGCGTGAGCTGCAAAGAGGGAACGCTCACTGCTGTCAGCCGCTCACAGCGTCCCACAGCACGCAGAGCCTGTCCCGATTGTGAGGGGCGCGAGGCAAGTGCAAGTGAAAGCTGGATTCTTGGGAGAGGAGATGAAAGACTCCGGGGAGCAGAGCCGTAGTCTGGGGGATGAGGGAGTCCGGGAGGAACGCAGGACCCGAGATGCCGCTCCCTCCATGGAGATCGAAGGGAAGATGTGAGAATCGTGCCAGGAGCCGCTGGGAATCGCGAGCTGTGTCTCAGAGATCGTTGAGTAGCAATTTACGGAGTACAGTAGTAGCTGCAGATAGTACGTGCTTACCTTAAACTTTTTCTGTTAAAATGCTCTACTGAGTATTAACCACTTTTAGCAAACTTTTCACTAGCGAAATGAAGTTGGTGAAAGTGTTGTACAGATATACTGTGTTAAGCAGGGTGAGTTGGTGCACGCCTGTAATCCCAGCACTTGGGAGACTGAGGCAGGAGGATCATTGTGAGTTCGAGGCCATTCTGGGCCACAAAGTGAGTTCAAGACCAGCCTGAACTGCATAGTGAGACCCTGTCTCAAAAAGACAAAAAAAAAAAAGATATACTGTATTAAGATTAGGCATCACAGTGATATGATGTCAGTTTCTAACCTGGGCAGAAGCGGCTTGGGCTTGCTTTCTCCTAATCTTTTTCCATTTGTTTTTCCTCATGGGGTGGCAATACTGTGTTTAAAAAGGTGTTACAGGGCCGGGGATTTAGCTCAGCGGTGCAGTGCCTGCCTGGCAAGCATGAGGTCGCAAGTTCTATTCCCAGTACCAAAGAAAAAAGGTGTTGCAGTGTACAGAGCTGTATTTTATATAAGAAAAAAGTATACACAAGTTAAAAAGCTCTTGGATCCTCAGTATAAGAATGGGGAGTGAGGGGCTGGGAATTTAGCTCAGCAGCACAGCGCCTGCCTGGCAAGCGTGAGGTCATGAGTTCGATTCCCAGTACTGGAGAAAAAAACAAAAAAGGTAGTGAAAAGGAGTTGTGTGATCAAAAGGTACAGCGATGGTTTTTAAAAATGTTTTTAGATTTATTACAGTGGCAGCATATTGCCGTTAATTCCAGGCTGCTCCCCTGCACTTTGAACACACTTACCTCTCGTTCCTGCCACTTCCTGAAGCAGTGCTGGGAGACCGTGAGAGTGTCTCTGAGAGGTGTGATCAAAAGCACAGCTTGTGAAAACATCTCAGGGCGCCCTCGTCCCCCGTCCTCTCCATGGCTGGCACTGCTTGCCTGCTGGCTCTTCCCCAAAGTCAGAGTGACGTGGAAAGTAGACGTGCTGGATTGGTTCAGGACAAGAGGCAGCCGCAGCTGCGCAAGTAAAGACACTCAGGGAAGAGGACTTCTGGCGCTGCTGGGAAGAGCGCCACAGACAGTGCGATGAGCGTGTTCGAAGTGGAGGAGGGTGTTCTGAGGGGTTAATGCCAAGGGGTCTTCCACTGGAATACATCTTTTTAATAGTTGAATGTATTTTTTCATCACTCCAAGTATGGTTATCTTACTTTGTACCGTGGGGCAGAAAAGTGATTAAGAAAGCCCTCTTGGCAGGCACTTCAGTGCCTTCCTGCAATCCTGCTGCGCAAGAGGCCAGCCTGAGCGACTTAGCAAGATGCTGCCTGAAAATACAGGAAGGGACGCAGCTCAGTGCGAAGGCCCTAGGTTCACTCCCCAGTACTGCAGAAGCGTAGACATAACGCGTCACCAGTGCGGTGTAGAATTGCTGGCCTCGTACGTGTGAGGCTGGGCTTTCACTCCCAACCTTCTGTGCAGAAAAAGACTTTTTGGTCAACAGAGTTAATAATGGAGAAAAGATCACCACAGGTGAACTCTTTCCTTTGAGATCTTTAAAGTAAAAATCTTAGTTCCTTATACTGCCTTGGTATAAATATTATTTTAAAAATTGCTAAGTCACCCTGTGGCTTGTTTGGTGCACCTGTCCAGGTACTCACCTGCATAGCTGGTAGAGGGTAAACCAGGACACAATACCAGACTGCTGACCTGTTTTGATTTTATTTCTGATTCATGGAGTGGGCATCGTGAGTACCTGTTAGTACAGTTGATATTTTAGGTCACTGACGACAGAGCCTGATGTCACCTTTCCTTAAGAAACCAGTCGTTGTCTTCTGAATAAAAAAAAAAAAAAATTGCATCATCTCGGTAACAGAGTGCCGCAGTCCTCCCGGCTCATCCTGTAGAAATGCAAGCTCGAGCTTACCTGGTGGTTGCTGTCTTCTGACGTTCGCCGTGTATGGCTGGCACTCACCGCAGCCTTGGCCGGTGAGTCCTGTAGCGCCCTGCCTGAACAGGGGAAGGAGCAGCGTGACCGCGAGGTCCAGTGAGCAGTTAGCGTGGGCTCTGGCTGTGCTCGGCCGGTGTCTGAAGGGTCGGCACCTCCCGCCTGCGCTGGGAAGCTTAGAGGTCATCTTCTCTACTTCCCTTCTGTTGGGTTTCTCCTGAAATGTACCCCAAATGCAGGACAAGCTTAGAACAGCGAGAGATTCAGCAGCCCACGCCAAGAGGCAGCTTAATTAGTAAAGGGATTGTAGCTGTTTCTCTTTATTTCTGTTATTCTTTTGCCTGTTTGTATCATTTTCACGAATAATTAGTTGAGGTCACACATTGGCATGTCTGAGTGACTCCTGTGAGATCATTTGAAGAAGATACAGGGTGAAATATTTTTACAGTAGAGGATGATCTCACATTCTGCTTCAGATGATTTTTCACAAGAGCAAGAAAAAATTAAAATGATGATGGCAGGAGGATTGCCCTGAGCTCCAGGCCAGCGTAGGCCACATGGCAAGGCGCTGTCTCAAAAAACCTTTCTGTTTCCCTGCTGGGTCCTCACACTGTGCTGCATCCCTCGCCCTGTTACTCTCTGAGGTAAGTTCTCACTGAGTCCTGAACCGCCCAGACTGTGCCCACCCCTGGGCTGCTCCTCCCTCGGCCCCCAGCACCAGTGTTACGGACGCGTTGCCTTTGAGAACAGAGAGACTGTTGGGTAGGACCTGGCGGAGTTAGCCAGCGCGAGCTAGGAAGTGGTAACCCGAAAGGGGTAACGAGAACCTCGCAGCATGGGAAGCGGTAAGGTAACTGCTTCACTGCTGCAATTTGGGAAATGTCAAAAAAAGTAAAATGCCAACGAAAGCAGTTTGTCCTTTCTCAGCTTACTAAGGATGACACAGATACTAATGTCTGGATTGATATTTAGTTACGCTGTTCTTCAAGAGAGGAGCAGTGTGTCTGACGAGGCGTTTAAATGAACGCTGATTTTCGTGGAAAGCAGCTCTTTCCCCTTTGTGAGCACATCAGAGTGTGCTTGGCCGAGGCCGGCGTGATGGAGTGGCTCCCTTAAGCTCTTCTCTGTGAAAGGACACTTCGCATGCCCCCGACCGGCCGTTTGGGGCAGAGGAAGCTCTCGGGCGGGGAAGAGAACCCCAGTGGTGGAGACAAGAGCCGTGGCCCGTGGCCCGAGTGGGGGTAGCTTTGCAGCTCGTGCCCAGGCTTTATCCCAGGGGTGCAAAACGATCCCCGGTGTAAGGGCTCCCTCCACCACGGCTAGTGTGCTCATGTCCACCTCAGTGGCCAGGGCATGTGGTGTGAGTCCTGTAGTACCAAATCTTGAATTTGGAAGTTCCACTTTACTCATTTTTGATCACTACGGTTACATGACATGTTATTCCAGCATAAAAAGCAAATTTTAAATGTTTATAGTCTGCCCCTGAGAAGGAACCAGTCTGTTTACACATTGTCTTCTTTTTGTTTTGTTTTTTTCCGGTACCGGGAATCGAACTCACAACCTCGCGCTTGCCAGGCAGGCACTGTGGCGCTGAGCTAAATCCCCACCCTCCTACACATTGTCTTAAGATTCTAAGATATGTGTAATATTCAGTCCAGTTGTTGGAATGAAAAATTGCCAGTCATCCAAGTGTTTGCCAGTAGGAAATGAATTACATTTTCAACAGAATAGAATCGTAGGTAGCTGTTAGAAAGAATGAAATAATATCAGTTTTATCTATGTGTGCATGCATGAAAAGATGTCCAAGATATATTACTTAAATAAAAAGAAATAAACTGTGCACTTTTTTTTGAGACAGAGTCTTGCTTTGCAGTCCAGGCTGGCCTTGAACTCACTGTGTAGCCCAGGCTGGCCTCAAATTCACAGGATTCTCCTGCCTCAGCCTCCTTAGTGCTGGAATGACAGATGTCCACTACCATGCCTGGGATAATTTGCATTTTAAAAAACACAGCTGTGGGATTATAGGGCACTTCTGTATTCTAAGCTATGTATTTTTGTGATGTAAACCCCTTTCGGCATCAGGCTCCATCAGACCTGCCTGTTGCAGCCTGAGGGGCCCGGAGACCCTAAACCAGTGACCTCTCCCTGACTGTGACTTCATTCTGTTCCACGCTTCCCTTGCTCGTCCTGTTCCCAACCGAATGCAGTCCTTGCCGTTGTCTCCCCTGAGGCCTTCTCCTGGCCGTTCTCCGCCTCCTCACTTGCTCTGGAAACTTTTCCCAGGAAGCGTCTTCTCAGGGTGGACTCTGGTCATCGGAAGTTTTTGGTTTGCGCTCTGCCTCGACGTGCTGGGAGCATTTTTTTGATCTTCTCAGGGAGTCACCAGTCATTCAGTGTCTCTGTTACCCGAGATGTGTCTTTTCCTGCTTAAATGAGACTTAAATGAGGACGAAGTCCCTGTTTCACATAAGTACAAACCAGAGCTGTCATGTAACGGATGCATACCAGATAGTAAGTGAATGAAATAGACAGAGAGGCTTGAGTGGTTGGCAGTTAGAATTTAACAGAAAGTTGTATACCATTAGTGTGGTTTTTTTTACCTTTCTTTGAATTTATTGCCTGAAGCGTCATAAAATCTCAAAACCAACTGGTAGTGTTGCACCCGCGTGTCACCAGCTCAGACATCAGTTCCCACTATGATGTGGACACAGCCAATCACATTTTAAGTGTGGGTCTAGATGCTTCCATTTTACTCCTGGTGTATTTTTTACTCTTCATAGTGAAAAGCCCACTTCTCCGTCAGCTGAAACAATCCATGCGTTCCTCTAAGTGGAACCTGAACTTCACAGGGGAAAACTTCCGGTTTCAGAGACCGCACCTCCTTGGTCCAGCGTGCACCGTTTCTGACTGAGGCGCACTGTCTTACAGACGATGACTGGCAGGAAGCACATGAGCGCCTGGCCGAGTTGGAAGAGAAGCCGCCGGTGGCCGCTGGCGAGCAAGCGGGCAACGGAGAGAGGGATGAGATGGACTTGCTGGGGGACCATGAGGAGAACCTGGCCGAAAGGCTCAGCAAGATGGTGATTGAGAACGAGCTGGAAGATCCAGCCATCATGAGGGCAGTGCAGACCAGGCCGGTTTTGCAAGTGAGTAAGTTACCCGGCCCTGAGAGCTGTGGTAGACCAATTAAACTGTTAAGCTGTTACTAAGCTTCAGTAGACTGTTCCCGTATTGCGCTTTGCCTTTACTAATCACCATGCCACCGAAAACTGATAAAACAGTTTCTGATGCCGGCAGTCCTGGAAGGTGAGGTGGGAAAGCCGTGTTTCCCTGGAGCCCTGCAACTCCATGCCCTCTGGTAGTTGGGGTTCTTTCGGACCTCTGCTCCCCAACAGCCAGTGAGTCATTCTGAGAGCTGCACAGTTCAGATGTCGTGTGCATGTTTTCCATTTTTGGTAGCCGCAGCCTGGAAGTCTGAATTCGAGCATCTGGGATGGATCCGAAGTCCTGAGGCGAATCCGAGGACCACTGCTTGCCCAGGTATTGCATGCGCTCTCTTCCCGTAAAGTTACCCATAACGCCGGGTCGGTGCCTGTGCTCCCCTCCTACCGGGAGAACGCGTAGGCCTGTCACTCGGCAGCGCTGTGCCCACTGCCGCCTGCAGCGCGGACACGCCGTGGTTGCTCCGCCCTTCCCGGGCCTGGGTAAAAGGAAAAGGGAGCTGCTAGAGCTCCTGTCTGTCAGCGTGCGGTTCGAATTACTTAACCAGTCTTGGCAGAGCTGTAGGGACGGAGAAGAGGTGAGTGGTTTTCCAGGGACTGGAAGTGGCACAAATTGTTGACAGCAGAGGGGCGATACGGAGGCGCTCTGGCGAGTGTGCAAGCGTTCCCTGTCTTTATTACGGTGGCAGGTCTGTTACTTTGTGTGTTTTTCAAAACTCAGAGGATTACGCACCAAAGAGAGTGAATTTGTCTATACGTAAATTTAAGAAGTGTTGAATACTGAATATTTTTGGCATCTGCAGAAATGATGAATGGAGTATTTCAGGGAGCTTGTCACTCAGCTTTTTGACCACTTCCTCGGTTAGGAAACGCCCGCGGTGTCTGTGTTAGAATATGCCTTGCCGCAGAGGGCCCCGCAGGGCCCGGAAGATGAGCGGGATCTCTCCGAGCGCGCGCTGCCGCGGCGGTCGACGTCGCCTGTCATCGGGAGCCCCCCCGTGCGAGCCGTCCCCATAGGCACCCCGCCTAAGCAGGTGGCCGTGCCCAACTTCAGCCAGCAGGTACCTCTCCTTAACAGGCCCCAGCCCAGGACAGGGAACCTGGGCAGGGTTACTTGGGAGACGGGTGCGCGGGAGAGGGTGGAGTCTTGGGTAGGCGCTGGATTAGGAAGAAAAGTAGCCGTTAGAGAAGTCAGTGCGGAGAGACACAGTCCCGAGCACCCTCTGCTGCTGCTGCTGCTGCCGCCGCCGCCTTTTCACTGGGGGAGAAAAGGGTCGTTGCCACATGTAGCGCAGATACCCTTCCTGAGCTATTTTCCTGGCTGCCCTGTCCACTGGCAGAGAGAGAAGTGAGAGCTGGGGGGATGGGAACACTCAGCATTGTCCACATCCCTTTTTACCTTTAAGATATCCCTGCTTTCCCTAGAGCCTGTGCAGTCCTGTTCCATAGACTTCCCTCCACCTGAACCAGCAGCTGAAAAGGAAGGCCAATTTGGAAGGTATGGGGGGAGGGCGGTGTCGGTACGGCCCAGTTAGGCTCAGCGCCCCATGACACGGTGGAGTCACGGTGTAGCATGGCATTCCTGAGCATGGTGGCCGGACCCTGGAGGCTTCCAAATAGGACTTAGTTACTCCTCCAGCTTCCTTACCATTCCTTCTCCCTAGCTGCTACCAAAGTAGTTCCTCTTGGAGAGAGTGTGCAGGTCAGAACATCTGCTGGTGCCTCCCTCAGACAGCGTGGAAGGGTGGGGACAGCTGGAGAGCTGGCTGCATCTTCCTCAGTTAAATGACACTTTGCTCGACGTGAGGAAGCAGCGAAGGCTCAGTGTTTGAGCTCCTAGCCGTAGCAGTTTGCTTAGAAGTAGGGCTTTGCGCTGAGTTCTGTGTCTGCCAGGCCTTGAGGGGAGGGCGTGAAGGTGGAGGAAAAGCTGACTTCATTGAGTGCAGTTGTACCTGTGTTTGTCCTGACAGATTCTGTGTCCGAAGCCTGTCCACGTCCGGCCCCCGATGCCGCCGCGTTATCCTGCTCCCTATGGCGAGAGGATGTCTCCAGACCAGCTGTGCAGGGTCCCGGTACGTCACCTCGGCCTGACGCGGCCGGGCAGCGCCTGCGGCACGGTCACTGCCCGTGTGCTCGCTCTTAGGGTGTAGAAGTGCTGGCATCTCCTGAGTGTCAGGTATCCTTTTTTGAAAACAGTCTCTGTATGTGAATTTCTGTCCCTAGGTCAGATTACATAGTTCACTTGTTTAACTCTTTTTTTAAAACAAAGGTCACGCTCATCGGCCTGTTTCCTGCTACTTCGGCCCCTCAGTCTTTTGCTCTCTTGTTCATGTTTCATGGTAGAAATTTCCAGCATTACTTCTTTATAGCCCTTCAGAAAGCTGTACAGTTTGTTTTCACATCGAGTTTATAGCGCATTTCTCTGAGCGCCCTCTTGATTTTCCTGTTCCGTAGTATGGATATAACTTGCCTTTTTCTTTTTTGTAGAACTCTTCCCTCCTGGGTCCACCTTTTCCTGCCAACACTCCTCCTGTTCTCAGCCCCCTGCAGAGAGCACAGCTTCTCGGAGGAGCTCAGGTGAGCCCACGAGGGGCACGGCCAGGAAAGGCCGTCCTGCGGTCCTAAGCTCCCGCGGAGGGTGGCCCTTCCTCTGCACTTAATCACTCCCTTTACTTTGCGCGCGAAGTTATTAATGGAAACTGTCTCGGCTTGGCCGTGGTTAAAAGCGGGGGAGCTTGCGGGTGAACTGAACCAGACCTTGTCCTCTCGCAGCTGCAGCCTGGACGGATGTCTCCCAGCCAGTTCGCACGGGTCCCTGGGTTCGTCGGGAGCCCGCTTGCTGCCGTGAATCCCAAGCTGCTACAAGGGCGGGTTGGGCAGATGCTTCCCCCAGCCCCAGGCTTCCGTGCCTTCTTCGGCGCCCCGCCCCCCGCCACGCCGCCTCCGCAGCCGCACCCTCCGGGCCCAGGCCCTCATCTGCAAACCCTACGGTACAGAAGGCAAACGTGCCTGCCCTTTGATCTGTGGTGTGTCGGGTTCTAACGTAGAGGCCTCTGGGTGTTTGCTGACTGAACTATTTGGAGATGGCGTTGGATCCTCCACTTGGCGATTGGGAGAACGTTTACGTCTCGAGGCTCTCTTGTATCTCACTGAAGAGTCTTACACCTCCGTGTACATTTGTACATGGCAAGTTAATTGCCTGTTAATTCTTTTAAAGTTAGTTTTATGTCTCCCTTAAGGTCATCTGACAGATACACACCAAGGAATTGAGATAGCAGTGCTTAGAATTTAGCTAATCCCTGCACTAGCCAAGTTGCTTTCTTCTACCCTCTGGTTTTATAACAAAGATGGGCTCAAGATCCTGCTTTGGCAAAACTGTTTTGTTGTGTATAATTCTCAAGAGAAATAACCAGTAGAAGATACATAAGTAGAAAAAGTTTATTTTAAGGAGCTGGCTGACAAGTCATAAATCCACAGGGCAGGCAGCAGGCCAGAAACTTAGTAGGAGTTGAAGTCACAGGTTTGAGTCTGAAGATGTAGGCCAGCAGGCTGGAGACTCGGGCAGGGCTTCTGTGCTCCAGTGGGTGCGGAATTTCTTCTAAGAAACTTTATGTCTGCTCCTAAAGCCTTTGATTGATTGGGCGAGGGTCACCCCCACTGTGGAGGTTTGGAGGATTGTCTGTCTCGTGAAGCCAGCTGATGATAAATACTGACCACATGCATAATACGCTTTCACAGCAACATGTAAGCCAGGGTCTGATCAAATAACTGCATGCTGTAGCATAGCCAAGCGGACATGAAATTAACCCTCACCCACGCATTTGCTCTGTCATTCTCATATAGTTACAACTGAGTACAGTAAACCTGTTCAGATATTTCTACTAAACAGGACCCCCCTCGCTAAAAAAATTGTATAGCGTTTACTACTAATTCCCTGAAATTTCATGACCATCCTCTTAGAAGATGAGAATTGGCCTTTGTGGAAAACATGTAAAAATTACAGCTCTTTTGCTATAAAAGTGTCTTTAGAATAGACTCTGCCCAGTCCCATGAATGAGCCCATACAAAGGTACCCTGTAGCCTCAGTGTGACAGCATTGCACACCCTGCTTCCTTCCCCCAGGTCTCAGGCCCCCATGTTCAGAGCAGACACGACTCACCTCCATCCCCAGCACCGGCGACTGCTGCACCAGAGACAGCTGCAGAACAGGAAGTAAGTGCTCACCCCTCCGCCGCTGCACTTCCTCGTGTGTTTACTTACTGCGGGGCTTATTTCACTGGTTAAGTCACATCATAAGTGCTGTCATTTTGTGTGTTTGATACACTGCTTTCTAATCAAAATTTATCTGTGAGAAAAAAATTTATCAGTGAGTTTCCAGCCTATCACAGTTCTTTTGATCATAAGTTGGGATTAAAGTTGAGCGCTGATTTTTTTTCTGCAGTAAACATTTTACACTCCTTGTCAGATTGCCTTCTCATCTCAGAGGTGATCCTAAAATACAGCAGCCACACGTGAGTTCAGGTCTCGTGAGCTCTGTAGTGATCATTCTTCTATTTTTACCTCAAACTATATAATTCTTATTCAGTGAATATAAATACGTATTGATGTGTGTGGCCCCAGCTGTGTACCAGATGCCATAAATAGGTTTTGAGGATTAAAAAAAGAACAGAACAGATAACGCCTCTGCCTTCATGGGTCTATATAAAGTAATTCTATAATTATGCAGCTGTGTAAAATAAGAAAACTAAACATAACTGTGAGATTTCTTCACCCACCAATTTTATTTTTCTGTGAGTGCATGTGATTCCTTCTCACTTTCAAAAATATCTTGGGGTTACATTTGCAGGGGGGAAAAAAGAGGAACCAGCATGGAGTCTTATACAAGACTCAGAGTGCAAACTACATAGCAAGAGAGTAATACATTTGACTGTATTAAAGTCCTAAACCTCTGCGTAACAGAAGCTGTACACAGACATGGTGGGACTCCTGGCAGGAGAACCCCAGGGGGCTCCTAAAGGTGGAAAGATGTTGGAGCTCGCTCGTGTTAGAAGTGTGCACACTAGGATTGGAGAACCACACACCACCGACAGGCAGAACTCCCAAGTGTCCACTTGATTTGGCAAGGCTGCAGTGTGAAAATTCAACAGTAGATAATAAAAGTTGAAAATGTGGCTGTCCGTATCCTAGCATTTCTACTTTTCAGTGTATTTCAGGGTATATTAGAAAGTCACTAAATATGAAGAGCATAATGTTGAGTAAAGAAGCAGGGAGCAGAATTGTGTCTACTGCCATTTGCGTAAAGTTTAAAGATGTACAGAATAATCATATGGGATAGTGAAAGACAGACACACGTAATGCGGGGGCGAGAAACATGTCAGGGAGGGTTCTTAATGGCAGACAGGCGCATGGGTGATTCACCTGTAAATCCGTTTGGGGAAGATTCGTGCCATGGGCAGAAGAGTGGCTCCTCTGCGAAGGCTCCTGAGTGGCCTGTAGCTCGGGGGTAGAGCCCATGCCCAGCTTGTCTGAGGTCCTGGCCCCCAGCCCCAGCAGTGAAAGAAAAACAGCTGGGAACTGCGGTCCAGAGGACACAAGAAGCATTCACCTGTAAATGTGGCCCTGAATTACTGTAATACTGTGTAAAAGTCAAGCAAACTTGGCCATATTTTTCCATTTAGCTGGATAGTGAGTAGTTACTCACGATTTTCAATGAGTTAGAGAGGAATTGTATAGACCTCACGGTCGGATCTGTGTTGAAGTCCCACTCTGCACTGGGATGCCTCTGATTGCCCTGGCCTGCAGCTTACTGTCTTCACGGGGCGCGGAGGAAGCTGCCTGCCAGAGGGTCAGTAGAGCAAGCCTGGAAGCCCGCAGATGGGAGTCTGGAGAGATCACGGCTTTCCTTCCATGGTTGTCGTTGTTTACCTCCTTTCTCTTAAACTGCCTTCTTTTTTTTTTTTTTTTTTTGGGTCTTTTTGAGACAGGATCTCGCTACACAGTCCAGGCTGGCCTTGAGCTCACTTTGTAGCCCAGGCTGGCCTCAAATTAGCAACAATCCTCCTGCCTCAGCCTCCCAAGTGCTGCGATTACAGGCGTGCGCCACCATGCCCAGCTCTTTAAACTCCACTCAGACTCAGTTTTCACTCTGCTTGTAGCAAAAGCAAGGGGGAGTGTTTTCCACTGGCCTGTTGCATTCCTGTGTTGCTAAGAGGCATGGCTAATGTGCCCCATGGGGTGAGCGCCTCTGCTGAATGTTTTCCAGTCAGCATCGGAACCTCAACGGTGCTGGAGAGAGAGGAAGTCACCGCAGCAGTCACCAGGACCACCTCCGGAAGGACCCGTACGCCAACCTCATGTTGCAGCGGGAAAAGGACTGGGTCTCTAAAATCCAGATGATGCAGCTGCAAAGCACTGACCCCTACCTGGATGATTTTTACTACCAGGTGAGTTCCTGGGGTAGTGTGCAGAGGAACAGTTTGGCCCTTGCACTAATAAGGGTGTGCGACACACTGGCAGAATTGCCCGGGGAGCACGCTCAGCAAACCCTGCCTCCATCTTAAGCAAAAGTTGCTGTGCTGTCCGCTGCCCCAGCAGTGTTTCAGTTCCTTCAGCGTCAGCCAGCTAGTTCCTCCCACTAAGAGTATCGGCGAGTCTTCAGTGAAGACCCTTCTGTTGTGTAACTTTTTTTTTATTCTTCGTTGTGTAACATTTTTGAAGGCTGTGCATTTTGGGGGGACTTCTGTGTATCTTGACAGCCTCAGTCATGCTGACACGGAGCTGCATACACCCAGACCAAAAGCCAGGACTTTAATAAAGTGAATTTATAGCAATCTAACAAAAATTAAACGTGGAGTTTTAGAATTTGTTGCTAGTTTCTTTTTTTAACATCTTCCTGTATTTTTGTATTAGTACATTTTAGATGTACATAATGATAACATTCACCATGGGGGGAGAGTTTCAAGTAAGGAACTGTCAAGTGTACATGTACCCGAGGCATGCAGAGTGAGCTACAGATGGGGCAGAGCGCTTGCCTCTTGCGCACACGGCCCTGGGTTCGATCCCGGCCCTGCGGAATGAAAAATCAAATGTGTACGTTTTTAGAGATCAAGTTTTATTTCTGCCACCAGTGTGAATCATTTAGTGGTAAAGAACAGCCCCGGTCTCTGCATGTTTCTTCTAATGATCTTCTCATGTGGTAGAATTACTTTGAGAAACTGGAGAAACTGTCAGCTGCTGAAGAAATGCAAGGTGACGGCCCTAAAAAGGAGCGCACCAAGCTCATCACCCCGCAGGTGGCCAAGCTGGAGCACGCCTACAAGCCAGGTGAGGGCTCGGCTCCGTCACGTGGGGACCCCGAGGTGCTGCCGCGGTGAAGCCCCTCACTGTGCCCGCGGGTGGAGAGCAGTGCTGAAAATGATTTGCAAAGTGCCTCTTAATAAATGCCAAGAGCAGCCTTTATTTGAGCCGAGGTTGAGTGATCTGACTTTTTTTGCTTGAGATTCCATGATTTTCTAGACTGCTCTAATTTGAACTGTCTTTAAAATAGGTAGGGCCGGGATCCTTTTGATTTTTTTTTGATAGTTATTGTGACCAAAAAATGAGAAAGGATGTGTTTCTAATAATAGGTTCTTGTCATAAATTATAAACTAATAAAGAACAGAGGAAAGGCGCGGTCTTCGCGTGCCGCCCTCTGGCGTCGCCGAGTTTTTCCTTGGTTGGCACTTTTGTCCTGCAGTGCAGTTCGAGGGCTCTCTGGGAAAGCTCACCGTCTCCAGCGTGAATAACCCTCGGAAGATGATCGATGCCGTGGTGACGTCGCGGGGTGAAGACGATGTGAGTCAGCGTGCACGCGTTTCAAGGCGCCTGAGTTGTCACCAGCTCTTTCGCGGTCGCGGCGGGATGAGCTCGGGCGCGGTGCGGCTGTTGGTAGTCTGAGCCGGCACGTCCTGCCGTTCTGCTTCCCGCAGGTGTGCTGGGATGTCCGCACCTCCGTTTCTAAGACAGCCGGTCGGGGCAGGGGGAGGGGCAGCAGTCTTGAGACGCGTATCGCTGGCCGCCAGCAGTATCGTTGCCTCAGAAGCAGTTACTGCTGTACTTCCTGTGTGTTTTCACGTGGTCCTGTGGGACCTTCGTTCCCTGCTACACGCAGTAGTGACCTTCGGCGTATCTCTGACTTCAGCCCGATAGTTTGCAAACACCTGGCTCCAGTGAACTCCGTGACCTTTGTCCATACGAGTGCGGTTGTAGGGTTTTGGAAGGACAAGGTGATTTCCACACCTTGGCATTTCCACAGTTGAACCCCCAGATGCATGCGTGGTGATTTGTTCTTGGCAGACGCAGTTTATGCTGAATGTTCTTGTCTCTTCTAGGAGACAAAAGAAAAGCAAGTTCGGGACAAGAGAAGGAAGACGCTTGTCATAATTGAGAAAGTAAGTTTCAGAACGGCTGCCGGCTTTCAGGTAGGAAGTGTGTGCGCCAGCGAGGAAGAGGCAGCAGTGCGGCGGCGCTCCGTCTCTGAGGGGCAGCCTCGCTCGGGCTGTGCCGCACCAGAAGGGCCGGGGCGCAGCTGGCCGGGCGCCGTGAGGGCACCGGTGCGGGCTGAACTGGCGAGGTGCGCTCAGACTCTTGCGAGTTACGAGCTCAGTGTCTTTGGAAGGCAGCGGTACAAGCCTGCTAAAATGGAAATACAGATGACACTGTTCTGGCTGTTGATGACTTACGTGAGTTCACAGGTATATATTGGACATTCCCGGTACAGAGGAAGAAGATAATACACACGTGTACACACACACATTTGGCAGTTGGTCTGGGTCTTTTTGTTCTTGGTAGGGGTTTTTTTGAGACAGAATCTCACTTTGTAGTTCAAGCTGGCCTCGAACTCAAGGCAGTCCTCCTGCCTCAGCCTCCCGAGTGCTGGGATTGCAGGTGCTTACCACCACGTTTAGCTTGGCAGTTGCTTTATGTAAATGCCACATTGAAAAAGCATAGAACATAGTCGATTCGAACACCGAATCACCGGGCTACAAATCGTATCTTTTCTGTTTCTAAGTGAATTTGTGGCTTGGGGCGTGGTGGTTTTATTTTGCCTTCTTGCTTGCCTATTTGCTTGGCACAAGGGTGGAACCGAGGGCTGCAGCCACAGCCCCGGGCCCATTTTGCCTTGGCGGTAGGTTTTGCTGAGGTGCCCAGGCCAGGCGTCAGCTTGTCCTCCTGCCGTGGCCCGCCGTGCGCAAGGCCACCTCGAGGGGCGGGGACTGGCTCCTATGCCATGTTCAGTTTTTCTCTGTGAAAATGGAGATGCTAGCAGTGTTTTTTCCCGGAGAGGCAGTGACTAGCCAGTGCACCTGCAGAGTGCTGGCGCCCTAGTGAAGTTAGCTGTTCCCCTTTGCAGAGGTGCAGAGTGTCCTGTGGCAGTAATGCAGAATGTTACCATTGCAGTGCATTGCCGCGGGACAATTCAGAAAGTAACTGTTTCACTGTCTTTAGCTGCCAGAGGGTCAGGGAGGGACAAAGAATGATGTCTGAAGAATTGCGGAAGTTGCTTGGTGTTTTTCTGCATTTTAAAGAGCAACTTTTTCTCAGCTCAAGTTTGCTGTGGGTTTTCACTCTTGAGTCCGGAGCAGCTAATCCTCCACTGAGTCTCCCGTACCCCATGGGCCCAGCCTGGCGGCTGTGGCCCGCTTCATCTCCCCTCACTCTCCTTAGACCTATAGCTTACTCCTGGACGTGGAGGATTACGAAAGGCGCTATCTCCTAAGTCTAGAAGAGGAGCGGCCTGCCCTGGTGGACGAAAGAAAGCACAAGATCTGTGGCATGTACGACAACTTGCGAGGCAAGCTGCCCGGCCGAGACAGGTGAGCTGTGCACATGAACAGCACACGCGCACGTACGTGCGCACGTGCACGCCCTCTGCCAAGCTGAGTTTACCGTTCCTGCCTTGCCCTGCGTTCTCTCTAAGCACACAGTGTATCTTTTTGGCCAAACTGAAGCCCATTTCATATAAAGTGTTTCCTACCCTTCCAGCCAGAGAGGGGAAAACCCTTCGTCCTAAATTTATTCAACAAATACAGTGTCTACTAGGGTTTGTACTGGGTGCCAGAGATTTTTAAGGAAACACTGTTAGGTTTGGGGGCTGTTAGGCTGTATCTAGTTTATGACTACTAGAATGTTCAACCTTGTAATCCTTTTCTGTTGTTGTTTTGTTTTTCGAGACAGGGTCTTACTTTGTAGTTTAGACTGGCCTCAAACTTGGCAGCAATCCTCCTGCCTCAGCCTCCCAAGTGCTGGGATTACAGGTGTGCACCAGCACGCCTGGCCCTCAACCTTGTCATCTTTATGTATCTACTTTCCTACCAAGGTGCGGACTATAAGCTTTTCAGTGTCCTTGGGATTTCCATAGCACACGTGTGTCATGGAAAGCAGTCGATGTTGCGGTAGAGACGATGCCTGTTAACCTTCTGTGTGTTTCTGTATGTTTTCTCTTGCCCGTTTTCTCTTACCCGACAGAATCCTGTTGATGGTAAATGTTGTGTAAATCCCAAATATTTTATAGATGCAAGAGGACTGTGTTGCCTAAAAAGTCCCTTTCCCTTTACTTGGTCATGAGAACTATTGATTCTTCCAAGCCAGGAGTTGCAAAACGCAACTTAACAAGCACTTTCCTTTCAGCACACGTTGTGTAGTGTAGGCCGGGGGAATAAATGTGGTCTCTCCACAGGTTGACATGGTGTGCGGCCTTTTAAATAACACATAATGTACATTTATTGACACGAAAAAGTCCTTACAGTAAGTGAAGAAAACATCAAGTTACAAACACATGAGAACTTTCTGGGCCCATTGTTTTATGAGAGAAAAATACGTATTACACAGCAAAAAAGCTCTTCAAAGTAGTAACACTTTTAAAGTTAACTGTTAGGTCAGATTATGAATGTTTATGTCTTACTTTGCTTACATATTTTCAGATAGTACTCTATTAACAATGGAATATTTTTGTAGGTTACTTAAAGCTTAATTGTGGCATACCCAGGCGTGGTGGTGCACGCCTGTAATCCCAGCACTTGGGAGGCTGAGGCAGGAGGGTTGTTGTGAGTTGGAGACCAGCCTGGACTGCATAGTGAGTTCAAGGACAGCCTGAACTGTGTAATGAGTTCTTGTCTCAAAGAAAAGTTAATCATGGAAATTGTGCAGGTTGTGGGACCAAGTGTACTTAGTGTGACTGGTGAGATGATGGCTATCTACGTGTGTGAACCCTGAGGTTCGGCTGCGGTCTGGCTCGCGTTGGGGAAGTCGTGCTCGCTCTCCGGAGTTTGGGGCACGGCAGCGGGAGCGCGGCGCCCACCCACAGCCTCCCCGGCCCAGGCGAGGGCTCCGGCTGCTCGTGTGGCCCTGAGTCTGCACTTCTGTCCCTTCGCAGGCCGAGTGACGAGCACTTCGTCCAGATCATGTGCATCCGGAAGGGGAAGAGGATGGTCGCCCGCGTTCTCCCCTTCCTGTCCACAGAGCAGGCGGCCGACATCCTCATGGCCACCGCGCGCAACCTCCCCCTCCTTATCAAGAAGGACGCCCAGGACGAGGTGAGCTCCGCGGCCGATTCCCTCAGGCTTCTGCACAACCTCGGAGGTTCCACACACCCAAGCAGCTGCTCCCCCTTCTGTCTGAACTTCAGCTCTGGAGGTGACTGAAGCAAACCCGCAGTAGTTACTCCAGGTCGGCACTTGAGTCTCACTCCTGCTGAGACTGTCCCTGGACATAAGGAAAGGGGTGGTTCTGCCTGGCTTGGTGCAGCTGTGGCGCTGTAAGCTGCTGCGAGAATCGCTTGGGAAGTAAAGTAACGTGAACCTCCCCGCAAGTGCTGAGTCAGAGTGTGGAGAAGGTGAATCAGGGCTTTTGTATTTCTGACAGGGTCTGCGGCTGAATCGGACTCTTGTCTTGGTTCCTTTGTGAGTAGAAAGCATCGTTCACTGGGCCTTTGTCAGCAGTTTGACATTAGCCTGTAGCTGAGTTGACAGGTGCCCACAGGAGTCAGATAAGGGAGAGGACAAATGTTACGTGAGAGATTGAGAATAATAAAATATATGTGGGTGAGTCTATCACTGCCCAGTACAAGCTGAGTATAACACCTGAGTAGTCCAGAGAAGACAGAGGTGCCAGGATTCCTGTTAAGTGATACACCATGGAAGAGTTGGGAATAATTCCTTCTGTAGACGTTTGAAAGAAAAATTTTTGACCCTTGAAATTCTAGCATGTAGAGCTGGGTGTGGTGGCGCACACCTCTAATACCAGTACTCGGGAGGCTGAGGCAGGAGGATCATTGCGAGTTTGAGACCAGCCTGGGCTACAAGGCCAAGGCCAGCCTAAACTGCATAGGAAGACCCTGTCTCAAGAAGACCAAAAAAAAAAAAAGAAATTTTTAGCATGTAGAAAAATAAGTTTAGGCCTCCTCATTAGAAAACGAAAATTGAGATGAGACAAGCGTATTTTTTAAAGATTCTAAGAATTAAAAATGGGTCAAAGGGAAGTTTAACAAGTTGAGGTTTATACTAGAAAATAGAAAGCCAGGTTGCAAATTACAGCAATTCTCAGACAGATGTGTACTGAATACAGTACTTAATACCAGGCACTAGCTTACGACCTAGAAATTCAGCACCTTGTTCTAGTTGCTAAGAGGTCGGAACACAAAAGTGCCTGCCTTCCTGGAGCTTATCTGCTAGCGAGCAGAATGTGGTTAGAATCAGAGGCTGAGTGTTTAACCTGTGTGCGTTAAAGACAGTGGACTGTGTCTCTGCAAACATCTTCTGCAAGTTCCAGCTGGCTCCAGGTCTGAGCCTGAGAGGTACAGGATAACGCTGGAATGTCTTGTATCAAAAGCAGGAACAGGGCTGGGGATTTAGCTCAGCGGCAAAAGCGCCTGCCTGGCAAGCGCAAGGTCGTGAGTTCGGTTCCCGGTACCGGAGAAAAAAAAAACAACAAAAAGAAAAAACAGGAAAAGTAGCTAGGTGTGGTGCACACACCTGTAATCCCAGCATGCACTCGGGAGGCTGAGGCAGGGGGATCACTGGGAGTTCAAGGCCAGCCTGGGCTACAAAGTGAGTTCAAGGCCAGCCTGAGCTACAAATCGAGAACCTGTCTCAGAAAACAAACAGATGCAAGCAAGTAAAGTAATAGATTACTAGGATCCTGAGAATGCCCAAACAAAAGTTGTTTAATCTGACCAGGCTCCTGTTAACCAAAAATAGGATAATTTACATCAAGAAGAAAAATTACAGTAATAGACTGAAGTAAATATATTCAATTTTTTTTTTGAGTCAGGGTTTTGCTATGTAGTTCAAACTGGCTTAGATTCACTGTGTAGCCAAGGCTGGCCTCCAACTTGTGGCGATCCTCCTGCCTCAGCCTCCCAAGTGCTGAGTTGATAGATACACCACCACAACCGGCTGAATATACTCAATTTTCTGAATTCATGATGATATCAAAAATGTTGGTCACCTTTGAGATTGCTAAGCGGTCGACTCCTCCTGACAAACAATAAATAAAGGAAAAGGGTTAAGCATTTCGCCTTTCTATTATAAGCAGATGTCATGGTAACTGACAGTTGGTAATCCAGAAGAATTTCAGCTAATAAATGAAAAACAGCTAATAAATATAGAAAATAACCACTCTGTAAGGCTTAACACAACAATAATCTAGACAGCAGTCACTGCCGGCTACGGAAGCGTCAGGTAGGGCGCGGAGGGGATTGGACAGCGGTTGGAGCGGGCTGACACCTGGGCCCACTGCCTGCTGCCCCGTGAGCCGAGCAGAGCACCGCGCGCTTCCCGCAGAGCACGCCGTTCTGGCCGAGGGTTTGCACGCGCCCCTCCCCGGCGCTGAGCCCCGGCAAGCAGACGTGTCATTCACAGCAGTTACGGGAAGGTGGAGCAGGCGGCGGAACCTGCCCAATAGGAGCCGCAGAGGCGTCAGCCAGACCCAGACCCGGGACCAACGACCAACCCATAATTTCAGCAGATGGCCCAAAAGAGGAGGTGGCCAGGGCCTGAAGACCTCGTAGGGTTTTTAAAGCGTGATCAGCACAATGGAGAGGGTGAATCTTGTTTGAACGATGATTAGAACAAATCAGCTGCTAAAAGATACTTGAGTCAGTTAGAGAAATTGGAATTTGGAGCAAATATTAGTGAATGCTGAGAAGTTACTGTTGGCTTTCTTGGCGTAGTACTGTGAGCGATTTTGTGAGCGCCGCAGACTGAGGTCGTGCGCGGGTCTCACCTGCTGCCGGGGAGCGCGGGGCACTGAGCCTGGGAAGTGCTGGTCGCTCGGTTGCTGGGGTCGGGCCGGCGTGGGCCGGCGTTCTTGTGTGGCGTGTTGTTGGAAGGGGCAGGTGAGAAGTCCGCTCGCGCAGGGCGGGTCCCCAGGCGGGGCCGGCCTCTCCCCTCGTGCACGGCACGTTTGCATCGCCTTGCTTGGCGGCCTGGAAGCGCGCCTGGTCTCCGGTGTGTCGTCGGCCTGGGCTCCTCCGTGCCTCTGCGCTGTGCCTTTGTGGTCCGGGCCGCGTGACGCGGAGGACTGACAGCAGAAGGCTGGGGGCCACGTCCTCAGGTTGTGCTGTGAGCCACCAGCTAGGCAGCTCTGCTTCCTGATCTCCTCTGGTGACGGTTCGTCAGTTCTGCGTCGCTTCCGGGAGCTTCATCAAGTGGAAGGCAGAGGCCGGGAAGTCCCAGAGCCCTTCTCCGCGCTGTGCAGCTCTGAGCTCGGCTCCGGCAGATCGCAGGCCCCTGTTTCCGCTCTGCCCTGCTGCACTTGGACTCCGGGGACCCCTGTTCACAGCAGGGCCCCGCAGTGGCAGGCATTTGAGCATTAGTGGAATGGGCCAAGACACTGGTATATACTCGAGGGCCTTGGCCCTTGACAAGGGAGATCCCGCCCCCCGGTCTCAGCGTCACGGGGCTTCAGGTGCAGACGGAGGTGAGAACGGTCTCGGAGAAGCTGAGACCTGCTGCCGGGATGCGTTCCGGACGTGGCTGTGCCCGCTGAGCGTCCTTCCGGCAGGCGCCTGCTGGAGGTCAGGAGGGAGCAGCCGGGGGACGTAATGCTGTTTTCTCCCCGCAGGTCCTGCCGTGCTTGCTGAGTCCCTTCTCTGTCCTCCTCTATCACCTCCCGTCGGTGACAGTCACGAGCCTCCTGCAGCAGCTGATGAACCTACCTCAGAGTGCAGCCGCACCAGCGCCCTGCAACCCTCACCTCACCACTGTGCTCCAGAACAAGGTGCCCGGCCCTCCGCGCTCCCCGCCAGCCACCGCGGCCGCGCCAACCTGGGAGAGGCCTCTGGCCCCGTCAGGAGCCGCTCCGCTCGGGCGATACGGGGTGTCAGCCCGGCAGGGTGCTGGGTAGCTCTCGTGAAAGGGATTGCTGGCGTTGATGTCAGGCCCGCAGTCCCGCTGCTCCCGCTCCCCCGCCGTCCTCAGCAGCAGCTCGCGCTTCACAATCGCGCAGGGCCCAAGGCGGCTGTGGGGTTTTCAGCCTTGGCCTTGCTCAGGACGGGCGGTGGGAGGTCAGGGAGATGCGGCGCGGCTGGCCGTGCGCTGTGGGGCCTCGCCGGGAGTTCTCTGGCTTCTCTGCGCACCCAGCGCAGGCGGCTGCAGACTCCTCTGCTCTCACCGCTGCCGTCCCGCAGGCGTCGGTTCCAGCCTGCAGAGCAGGGCCTCCCGTTGGTCTGTGTCAGGAAAGACCCGGAGGGAGCACAGACGAGCAGGAACCGGAACTTTGGCAGGCCAGGTTTCAGCCCTGCCCCGCCTGCCCGGGCACCGCGATCCTGGGTAGAGCATCTGGCTTTGCTGAGCCGGCTTCCGGCTGTGGAGCGGACAGTGCAGGTGTCACCCAGTTGGCCTGCGCGTAAGGAGGCGCTCTCGGCCACACCGCGTAGGGCGGGGAAGTGACACCTCGGGGCCTCCTCTCCCTGGCGCTGGAAACCCCAAGGCCTGCCCTGAGGTGCCGTGCCTGGGAGCGGGCCGTGGAGCCGGCAGCGGTGCAGCATCCTCCTTTGGTTTCTTCCTTTTAATGTTGGCAAAGGCAGTAGAGCACCGTGCGATCGGACAGGGTGGTGGTGCCCGGTGCTTTACCTAAATCGCAGATAGCGGATAGAAGTGCGTGTGAGGCTAACACCCGTCCTTCACAGGTCTGTCGCCGCGCAGCCCGGTCTCCGTTCCCCTCCCTCCTTCACCCATCTGTCCTGCGCTGAGCTCCCTCCCCTTCTCCACAGCTTGCCTCTGCGTCCTGTCTTCCACTCTGCTTTTTGTTTATATTTGGGTTTCTCGTGGAAGAGAGCACAGGATATTTAACCCTGTGTGATTTACGTCCCGGCGTTATGGTCTCGGTGCACCCGTTTTCCTACAGACACTCCAGTCCCTGAGGGCTGAGGAGTACTCCACCGTGTATGACCACCTTTTCTCTACCCCTTCATCTGCTGGCAGGCCTGCGGGCCACGTCCGTGACTTAGTCCTTGAGAATTGCATTGCTGCGACCCTGTGCGTGTGTCGCTGTGATCCGATCCCTTTAGCTCCTTCAGGAAGCTACCTGGGGGGGAATAGCTGGCTCGAGTGAAATTTCTAGCTTTCGTTCTTTGAGGCGTCTCCATGCTGACTTCCGTAGTGGTTGTACTAGTGTACATCCCACCAACACTGGGTACGTAAAGTGTTCTTTTTCCCGCAGCCTTGCCTCTGCTGTTTTGATTTGTTGATGGAGTAAGAGGGACTCCCGAGTGTTGTTTTGATTTGCGTGTCTCTAATGGCCAGCAGTGTTGAATGCTTGTTCATGCATTTATTGGCCCGTTGTCCTTCTGAGAAGTGTGTTCATCTCAGTTGCTCAGTTTTTGATTGGATCTTACATGGGGGGGGCTGTCTAAATTTTCAGATCGTCACGTTTTGCATATCAGTCCTCTGTCCAAGGAGTAGCTGGCAGAAGTTGCTCCCACTCCATGAGTGTCTGTTCAGTCAGTTGGCTGTTTCCCCTGCTGTGCGGAAGGAAGCTTTTTAACTTGGTGCAGCTCCGGTTGTCGGTGACTGATATTCTTACACTGTACAGTTGGTCTGCTCAGCGAGGCCTTGCCTGCATCTCAGCCTTTAAAGAGTCTTACCTGTTTTATCTTCCCACAGATTCAGTGTTTCTATTTTTATATTTAAGTCTTTGATCCACTTTGATTTTATTTTAGTAGCAGCCAGGCGTGGTGGCGCACACCTGTAATCCCAGCACTCGGGAGGCTGAAGCAGGAGGATCATTGTGAGTTCAAGACCAGCCTGGGCTACAAAGTGAGCTCAAGGTCATCCTGAACTGCACAGCGAGACCCTGTCTGAAAAAGACAATCAATCAATCAATAAATAAATAAATAACTAGTAGCAGGGTCTGGATTCACTCTTCTGCATGTGGATTCCAGTTTTCCCAGCACCATCTGTTAAAGGGCTGTCTTTTGGGCCGGGGATTTAGCTCAGTGGCACAGCACCAGCCTGGCAAGTGCAAGGTCCTGAGTTCAATTCCCAGTACCCAAAAAAACAAAGAGGCTGTCTTTAGTCTGGCGTACGTTTTTTGGCCCCTTTGTCAACGAGCAGATGGTGGAATGTGCCTGGGAGTGTTTTGGCATCCTCTATTTAATAGATCTACAGGTCTGTGTTTATGTCAATGTCTTGCTGTTTTTATCACTGACAATTTGTAATATAACTTGAGATCCAGGATTTTGATGCCTCCTGCTTTGCCCAAGATTGCTGGGCCGCTTCTAATGCCATATAAATTTTAGGACTGTTTTTTCTTTGCGGACTACTGTTGGTCTTTCGATTTGGATTGCATTAAATCTGTATCATTTTTGGTGACAGGGCTATCATGACTACGTTGGTTCTGCCTATCCAAGTAAGGAGGTTATCTTTCCATCTTCTGATACCATCTTCAGTCTTCTTTTTTTCCAGCATTTTATTCATTGTAGAGCTCTTTCACTTCCTTGATTTGATGAGTTTCTCAGTGTTTAATTTTTATGAAGCTATTCTGAACGCAATTTTTCTCTTTTCCTGAGAAGATCCATTGTTGATTATATAGGGACACTATTGATTTTGTGATTTTTGCCCTTCTGTTCGTGTGATGTGCTACGTTCATCAATGTACATATGTTAAACCATCCTTGCATCCCTGCAGTGAAGCCAGCCAGCTTGGTCAGGATGAATGATCTTCTTTATGATTTGCTGATTTCTGTCTGTCGTATGTTGTTGACAATTCTTACATGTGTATTCGTTCAAGAGACGGACTTGTAGCTTTCTTTTTGTTAGATCGTGTCTGGCTTTGGTACCAGGGTGATGCTTGGCAGAGCCCCTTCCTTTTCAGTTCCATGGGAGAGTTTGCGGAGTATTGTGCTGGGTCTTCCCTGAAGTTCTGGTGGCAATTCCGTCAGGCCCAGGGCTTTTCTTAGTTGGGAAGGTTTTTATTACTGCCTCGTTTTCGTTGCTTATTATAGTGATCTATTCAGCATTTTTATGTTTAATTGGTTGAGTTTTGGTAATTCATATGTATCTAGGAATTTCCATTTCTTGTAGGTTCTCCAGTGTATTGGAATATAAGTTTTCAAAATAGTTTCGGTATTGATGCTGATTTTCCTTTCCGAAGGGAAGTTCTGTGGAAAGGAAAGGTTATCCTTCGGAAGGGGAGCTCAGAAAGGTGCTGGGACTCCCAGGGTACTGCCAGTTTCCTGCTGGACTGTGATCTCCTGCCTTTAACCTGTAGCTCCTCGTCCCTGTTTGTGCTTTCGCTCTGTGCTCCTTTAGCGGCTGTTACTGCCCACTGACAGGCTTTCGTGTATTTCAGTCCGAATCATGCCACTGAACTTGAAGCACTGTGGAGACAGTGTTTGGATCTGTTTGCCCTCCCTCCTTTTTCGTTTCTTCGGCTCCTGTTAACTCGCCTTCTAAGCCTCTACATCTCCACTCAAGTATCCCTTTTTAAGGAAGTTTTCTCTCTTCATCTTAATCTGATTTTGCCTTTTGCCTTTTTGGTATATTTCCTGTAGTTCTTAGCATCTCTTCTTGTTTATTCTAAGTATCTTTCTTGCTTAGTGTTTTCTCTGTGAGTGTTTTATTGCCTTTCCGTTTTTACCTCTTTTGTTCCTACAGTAGGACAAAAGAGCGAGGAGGCAAGGCCTGGAGGGAGCCTGGGCTCGGCTCAGCGGCCTGAGCTCCCCGCCCCTGGCTTCAGTGAGGTCTGAGGCCCGAGCTTGGAGGCCTTTTGGGCCAGGCCCGGGGCATCCCGGCAGCTGGGGTAGGGAGAGGCACTGAGTCGCTTCCCTCTGTCTCCACAGTTCGGCCTCTCGCTGCTCCTCACCCTCCTGAGCCGCGGGGAAGACCTGCAGCGCCTGGAGCCCGCAGCGGAGCCCGCGCAGAGTGACCAGTGGTCAGTATGGCTGCCTCTCCCGCCGCCAGCGCTGCCCGACAGCCAGTGCCGCGGTGCCCGCTCACCTCGCTGCTGCTCTGCTTTGCCCGCAGGACGGAGGTGATGTTCATGGCCACCAGGGAGCTCCTGCGGATTCCCCAGGCCGCCCTGGCCAAGCCCATCTCCGCGCCCGCAAACCTCGTGTCCCTCTTCTCTCGCTATGTCGACCAGCAGAAGCTGACCTTGCTGGAGACGAAGCTGCAGTAAGCCCGGGCAGGAGCAGAGCTGGGCGTCGGTGGCGTGGCAGGGGGCGCAGGCGGTGCATGCCGGCCGAGACCCGTGACGCCCGCTGACAGTCTGTGGTCAGGGCCCAGGCGCCCGCGCCCGTGTGGAAGTGACGCGGGCTGAGCAGAGGCGTTCTCACGGGACTTGGGCGGGGAAGGCTGTCCACGGCCTCGGCTTACTGGCACAATCACACACACCTTCTTCGTGTCTCTGCCCTCAGGCTGGTTCAGGGGATCCGGTGAGAGGCTTCCGCTGTGTGCTGACCTCCTGTGGCCGCCACCTGCACCGCTCCATCGCTGAGGGAGTGTCGCGAGAGGGAGGTGGTGGCGGTGGCCGGGCCGGAGCAGACGCGGGCTGCATCAAGGCCGGGGCTTCCCGCGGCTCCGGGAAGAGTGACGGACGACTCCCGCTGGTCCTCTGTACCTCTGCGTTACCGTTCTGCATGTCCCCTTTACTTGGTTCTTTACCATTTTGCGTTTTCTTTGCCCTAGAGATACAAAGAGAATCCCTCCCTTTATCCCACCACACCGCCCACCTCACAGTAGAGCGCAGCCTTCCAAAGGAGTCTCCCTCATCCTGCGGGAGACGTTTGGCACTGTCCCATGGTAAGGTGACTTTAGGAGAGCCAGCTGAGTAGAACTCAAGGCAGATTCACACACGCGCGCCTGTGCGCACTTACGTGGTCTCCACGGGGCCCTTACGATGAGTTTTAGATGGAAAAGTACTTAGTGGACACATACCTCCTCTGAACACAAGCCAGCGGCCTCATCTTCCATCTGTCTCTGCTCCGCCTCGCCGTTCCTCTGGTGGGTCCTCGTCTTCGCGTGAATCTGGGGTGTGCAGCACTTCGAGTGAAATCTGAATTTGTACCCGGCTGCTGCCCAGCCTTAGGCCGAGACGTCCTCCCTCGGGCCTGTGTCTCCTTCGTGTCTCCCTTCTGAGCGGCAGCAGCACACGGTTAAGCCTTCTCGTGCTCCCGCGGCCGCAGCCTCAAGCCCGTCCCCGCCTGGGGTCCGAGAGCCCGTGCTGTGGCAGAGCCCTGTGCCCCGCGCTGTCCCCCCAAGGGGACTGCCGCTCCTCCCTGTCCCCGGCTGCGCTGGCGGCCGCGGATGCCGCCCTGGCCTGCTGTGCCCATTCCGGGCAGCGGGTTCTGGGTGTGACCTCCGCGGGGACAGCGGCCGTGCCGGCCGCCCGCGTCCTCCCACACAGCAGCGAGGACGGGGTCCCTGACCCCTGCGGGCCGCCAGCCTGGAGACGCTGAGACCTGGGCCCCCTCCCCGCAGCCGTCCCGACCTCGGTCCTGCTGCCCTCGCCTTTCGAATGTAGTTGGTCGGGCCGGCCTGTGGCGGGAGTGGCCACTTTGCACGTCCTTGTATCGTACAACAGAGCCCTCCGTTGGGCCGGCAAGCTGCCCTGCCTGGTCGCGGCCTGGTCGCGGCCCAGCTCCACCAGCGTCCCCAGGCCGCCACCTTGCGTCCCCTGCGACAGCTACTGACTCCCACCCACGCCTCTCCCTCCCTCACGGCCGATCAAGTGAATATTTGATCGTTTTTTCCTGACTGTGCTTTATCTTGTTTGGTTCTAATTAATGAAAATAAAGGTTTCTAAATTTACATTTTTATAGGGTATTGTAAATAAAAACAAATTGTATAATTGAAGGGAGCATGTGCGTGTTTATGTGCTCTTGTCTTTTTTTTTGGTCTTTTTGAGACAGGGCCTTGCTGTGCAGTTCAGGCTGACCTTGAGCTCATGTTGTAGCCCAGGTTGGTTTCGAACTCACAACAATCCTCCTGCCTCAGCCTCCCAAGTGCTAGGAGTGCAGGCGTGCGCCACCACGCCCAGTCATTTCTGAACTGGCTTTTTGTGTGAGCCTAGCGTGGCCGAGTACTCCGGCAAGCCCTTGGGTGCTGGGACTGGTCTCCCTGATGTCTTGCTTTTTGTGTGGTACATTTTGGGTGCTTTTTATAAATGTTCAGGTAGAGGAGCCAACAAGTAGAGAAAAGCAGGAAATTGGGACAAGAGTTCTTGTAACGCTGAGTGCTGTCTGCAGGATGCATTTTGCTTTCCTGACAGCGAGACAGGCTTTGGGTAGTCGGCCTAAGGCGGCAGCGGGCCACAGAACAGGCCCAAAGATGCTAGCTGAGGGGTAAGATTATCTTGTGGTAAAAGACTTGCCCTCAGCCGGCCACTCCCGTGATCCAGCACTCGGGAAGCTGAGGCAGGAGGATTGCAAGTTTGAGCCCAGCCCTGGCAGTTTAGCAAGACCCCCACCCAGTGCTGGAGACATAGCTGCGTGTGGAGTTCAGGGATCGAAATGAGTACCCGTATGTGAGCTGGCTGCTTCACACGCGTCCGCTGATTTCAGAGTCACCCGGTGCTTACTAGCTGTCGTTCTAGATGCTTTAAAGTCACTTTCTTAAGACTTGGTGACAAGGGCAGTAGTTCCCAGCTAAGTACAAGGCAAAAATAATCCCATTGGGCGATGCTAAGACCCGGCCCGCTTCACAGCGCTTGGCACGCTTGAGGGCTGACGTCGGAGCGTGCAGTCTCCCTACGGAAGAAGTAGACGTCCCCGGTGAGAGGCGGCGGCCGGAAGATGTGCAACAGTTCATAGAGTGCGGGATGTGGGGACTTAGTCCGCTGCTGCCTCTTGTAGAGCATTTTCAGCTCACCAAATTCTTTAAAAGGGATGCTAGTAAGAATTTGGGGCTGCCCCTCACCGATGAGAAGTTGACTTCTCTGAAAAGTTCCTTGTCAGTGTAAAGAACTTCCCATGGCCTTTGACCAATTTGTCTTCAGAAATCTAAGCAAACATTACAAAGCAAAGATACTTAGGGCAGCCTGGCACGGTGGGCCGTGTCTGAAACCCCAGCTTCTCGGGAGGTTGAGGCAGGAGGTCTGCAAGCTGAGGCCAGCCTGAGTCATTCAGCAAGGCCTATTTCAGAGATGGGTGCGGCCGGGGTGGCATGGCCAACGATGCAAGACCTTTTTTTTTTTTTTTTTAATTTTTTAAGGAACACTGCAGCTTTATAATGTGAAAGCTATAAATGACCTAAATGTTGCATCACAGTAAGTCAGTGGCCATCCATGTGGCATGGACAGCCAAGCATTTAACCACGGGGTGTTCACGACAGGAGAAGCATATCTGTGTGCTTTGAATCCGGCTTATAAAAATGCCCAAGTGCTGAGGAGGCGAACACTGGAAGACACGTTCTTAAAAGTTACTGGTGTCTCTATGGGTCGGGATTTTTTGGGAATGTGCTCTTGCTCTGCAGTACTTTCCAAGTTTTCTACTGAGGAAATACTTCGTGTTCTTGGAAAGAATATTTTAAAGGAAAAATTCATTGAGTTTAGTTACATCGGAAAGTACTAAGGGTGTTAAGTTAAAGAGGTGTAAGGCTGCACGTGTGTGCGTGCGGCCGCTCTGTGGAGGGAGGGCCCAGGCCGGCGGCGGGAGTGGCCCCGAGGGGCTCTGAGGGCTTTGAGTGTAGGTGGTGGCTCCTCTCCGTGTGTTCCAAATTTGTGCTCACTGGGGTGTTAATTATAACCAGAAAAGGTGGTTATGCTCTAAAAACAGCTAAAAATAGCATCCGTCTATCTCGGGCGTGGGGGGAATCGCTGTAGGAGGCAGAGCGCGGGGATGCCTGGAGTGCCAGGGCTTGGCTGTCCCCGGGAAGGTGCTGCAGACCCGGACCCCGCCTCTGATGCCCCTGGGCTGTCTCCTCCCCCGAGCCAGCGTCAGCTGACAGCAAGAGGCCCGGCTCTGTCTCCCACCCTGTGACCCTCCCCAGTGACCCGAAATTGCGTTTTTCTAAACCATAGCTACTGCAACACCAAAGTTGCCCTGTTAAAAATAGGAATGTCAGGGGCTGGGGATTTAGCTCAGCGGCACAGCGCCTGCCTGGCAAGCGGGACATGAGTTCAATTTCCGGTGCCAGATAAAAACAAAAAAGAAACATCGGAACGTCCAAGACACAAATTGTGACTTCTGCTTTGGGGATGCAGGGAAGTCCGTCGTGCGGGAGGCAGCGTGGGGAGGCCGCGGGGAGTCCTAGGCGTCTCCTCCCCCCAGCTGTGCTCGAGTAGATTAATACCGTGAGCCCTCAGAAACCAGTGTGTGGACTTAGGGGAAACCACAGTCTGAGGGTTCAGTATCAAAAATGGCACGTAACAGCATCATCTGACCTCGCATTAGACGCGGTGCTGTGAGCAGGTGGCGGGCCCCTTAGCAGCCTCTGTGGGCTCTGTTGGCAAATCAAAGCTGTGTGAAGGAGCTCATGTGTCATTCAGAGGACTTTCCAGCTCTCCTTTGAGCAAATTCGTTCTCCAAAGCAGCCTCAGCCAAGCTCTGGAAAATATCTAGAAAGGAGCGAGGTGTAGTTTGCCAGGTGTGAACATAAAAATCTCTTAAATTCACCAGACTACAGAATGAGAAGCTGACCGAGGGAAAATACCTCACTTCCCACACCTCAGCAAAACCACCGACAGTGTAGTGTGCATCGTCCACCGAGGCTGTCCACGCACAGGTACGCAAAGAATTACGGGCTTTTTCTTAAAGCGTCCTGGACTTGTCCCGCAGGATGGAGAAAGCAGCCCTGTTCTCCGTGAGGGCTCTACAGGGTTCCACTGGGCACCACTGTGCCCCAGTTCATAGGGTTCCGTCTTCGGGTGCCTTTTCCCAGGCATCACTGTGCCTCCAACGGGGAGCACGAGGAAGCCTCCACCCTGGCCTCACAAGTACCTGCACAGCTGTTTCGCAGTGTACCAGGCACTCCGCCACCTTCTGCTTCGACCGTTCTCTGCCCTGAAGTAGGGCAGCCCCTGCAGTTACACAGCTCCAAAACGACCCGCCGGGCCCCCCACCGGGAAAGGCTAAACCTGCTTCTTAAACCTGGAAATTTAAGTTCCGAAGCTAGTGTCCTGAGTGAGACGCCTCCTGTTCCTGAAAAGGAAAAGAAAAAAAAAAGAAAGAAAAGAAGGATAAAACGGAAACAGAACTTTGTAAATAGGAAGGGAAGAAGGGCTGAAGGGAGGGGAGGGGAGTAGGAAAAAAAGAGGGATCAAGATATATCACGTGCAGGTACAAACTCCCCATGCTGCGTGCGGTCTCCGTGCATACCTGAAATGCACCAATAAACTTCATTAATTAAGAAAAATTTTTTAAAAACTCTCCTGTTCCCAGACCCAGGCTTCACGTCGGAGCAGCTGAAAGAGATGCAAGCCCTTAAAGGTCACATCTGCAGTCTCTGCTGATCGGATTTTAATTTCTCCACTTTCACCAGGCAAGCGAGGCCGCTGGCTCTCGGGAACGTCCAAACGCAGAGTCCAGTTGTTCCCGACTGACCGCCACACGGTCATCCTCGGCGCAGCTGGCAGCCTCCGGACCCCTCTCCTGTTTAAACGTTTTCAAAGAAGCAGCAGCTCCTTCCTCCCACTGTTCCTCCCTCCCGGTATGGGGTTTTGCTGCTGTTTTGTTTTTACAATCCGCAGGGTGGACCCCAGGCCTTGTGAATGAATGCTGAGCAAGGACTCTGCTGCTGGGTTACATCCCCAGACATTTTTATTTTATTCTGAAACAAGATCTTGCTAAGTTGCCCAAAGTGATCTTGAACTTGCAATCTTCCTGCCTCAGCCTCCCAAGTAACTGGGATTACAAGGTGCATGCCACTGTGCCAACCTCCAGTGTTTTGAAATGCTTTTGTTACTTTACTTATATTCAGTCCCAGGGGATCTGACTCTCACTAATTCACTGTACTAATATGTGAGCCCCCAAACGCAGGAGCTGCCTTGTCACAGCTGCTCCCCAAAACCCAGCATAGAGTCAACACCAGGAAGGCAATCAACAAATATCTGGTGATGAAATAAACAGCTGTGCTATAAGAAACAGAGTTTAAACCAGGTACGCCTGTAATGCCTGCACTTATGAGGCTGAGGCAGGAGGATCGCTGCAGTTTGAGGCCAGCCTGAGCCACACAGTTAGCTCAAGGCCAGCCTGAACTGCATAGTGAGACCCTGTCTCAAAAAACAAAATAAAACAACAACAACAAAAAACCAGAGTTTAAATTGGTTGTAGTGGTGCCTGCCTATAATCTCCACCATTCTGGGAGACTGAGGCAGAAAGTTTAAAGTCACAAGTTTAAAGAGAGGTTGGGCGCCACAGTTTGAGGCCCGCCTAGGACATAGAGAGACCTTGTCTCAAAAAAAAAAAAAGAAAAGCTTAAAGGGGTTATTCAGACCTGATTTAACCAAGGCCTGTTTGTTTCCTAAGGCCCGTTTTGAAATACATTGTCACTTATTTTATCACAACCACCCCGGGTCAGGAACAGTCTGATGCTAAGTCAGACAAGTACTGTGGTCCCGAAGTGCCCTGGGAACAGAGGTGACAATACAAAGTCACCACTGTCCTGGTGCCCAGGGCCGCGCTGAGAACCGGAGCGCACGGGTCAGGAGGGCGGGTTCTGTTCTCGAGCCGAGGCGCGGGAGGCCTGGGGAGCAAGAGCTTGAAGGCGCCCAGCACCGCCTGAGGCGTGCAGCGACCCCGCAGTCACTGTGGCCCGGGTGCAGGGGGCCGGAAACGTCCTCACTGCAGAGGAGATCACAGACAAGAGCACCCAGAGGGCCCCGTTCCCGCCTTGGGAACACCGTGCTGTAGGGAGCG